CGAAGATACTAATTTGTTTATAAAATGTAAGGGAAAATATATCCTTTTAGTTTAAATTTATGTGGATGATATTATATTTGAGTTTACTAATGAGTCTTTGTGTATATTGTTTTTAATACTCATGTAGAGAAAATTTAAAATGTCCCTAATTAGAGAACTCAATTACTTCTCGCACTAGTATAAAACGTGCATACAACAACATCTAAGTCACCACGGTTCTTCAAAGCACCAGGGTGACATCTCTAAAATCAGGGGCTAACATATTTTTTTTATTATTAAAAATTGTAATGGTATAATAACAGTTGATGACTTCACTGTGGTGATAAAACCAAACTTTCATGGGTTCTAACCTCAGCGCCCTTAAATATTTTATTTCTTTAACGTTAACGTGCTCCTTTTCTTCTTTATTTATTTTTAAATAAAAAATAAAAGGGAAATCATTATGGTTGTTTTGTAGAACCATTGTGATATATTTTATGAAATTATTTTTCACTATGGTTGAACTTTACAATTGTTGCGAAATTCTTTCTCACAAAATAAAAAGATAGCAGGTACTTTATTTCATTCATAACACACGTAGGTGCCCTAGAAAACGAGACGACATGAATAGAAAAATTTTCACCATCCTCTTCAAATATCATTTCTGGAAGGAAAATCTTCACCATCCTCTTAGATATTTCAGGAAGGTAAGTCATCATTCTCTTCCTCTGATACTTATGAAATTTTAGGGTTACCGCATACGATGAAAGCTGATATATTACTATATAATAGAAAGTCGTAGATTTTGTGTGAATCATTAATGTGGTTTTATGAATCGTTTTATGTGAATCATTGATGTGGTTTTGTGAATCATTAGTGTATATTAGTTTAAAATAGAAAGCCATATATTTTATTCTTATGAATCATTTTGGTTTTATTCTGATTTTGTATATGAGAAAGCCCTAGAGTGTACGTCATACTAAGATTTAAGCTGTCAGAATTTGAAAAACTTAAGAAATGCTTAAAAGACTTTGCATTAAATAAACCATATAAAAAGGCCTTAATAATCATATCTAAATCCTCTGGCCATGAGAAATTTTGACAAAGTATAATCAGCTTCATCCTCATCATCATAATCGATGATGGCTGACCTTTTCACCCTTATTCTTCTTTTTGATCTCCTCTTCCTGAGAGCTCTCATGGGTCTCAAAAGTTCGATTTCTCAAGCACGTCCTCTTTCCATTTCTTGATTCTGAGGAGGTTTTTACACAAGATTAGCCTCTACATCCACAACAACTTTGATCTGTTCTCCCAGAAGTGTTGAAAGGTTCAGCAGAAGTACTCATTTTGATTCATCTTCTTCTCTTATTTCTTCGGTTGAAGTTCTTTTTGTGTTTTGGTTCAAAGGGAATAATACTTTTATATTGTTTCTTCGGATTATTCCTCTTCTCTGATTCTTGATAGTCTTAAAGCCAAAAGATTTCAAGCATGTCAAGTTTGCTCGTTATTGGTTCTTTAATTCTATACATTTTCTTCACTTAGAATTTGGAAAGATCTTTTGGTTTTCTACCTCAAGCTCTTAAATAATTACATCTCTTTGTCTTTTCAAATTTCTTTTCCTCTTCTTTGATATTCCTTATTACGCATAGTTTGATGTAATAATGTGTACATAATGGAATTGTGTCATTAATGTATACAAGTTTTAATATTCAAATTAACAAATCAGTGTATTGTTGATTCTGGTATAATACGATTGAGAAATAACATATTTTGTGTTTGATGTAAATATTACTTTTGACTTTTGATGAAAAATGTAAGTAGTTTTTATGCTCTTTAAGCATAGTTAACAAAAATACATGTGTCTTTTAATTATTTGATATGGTTAAAATAAATATATGTTGAAATATGATAAAAAATTTAAATGAAGGGAATTCCTTTTTTAAAAACAACAGAAATTTTGACAACGATTATAACAACTAATCGTGATTGTATATTGAACGCTGACCAAAATAATATAAATTCTAAAATTTTGTTGTTGAGAATCGAATAAGGGACCTTTGGGTCTATCACATCGGTTGAGATAACTAATCTTTGTGATATCGTATGCGTTTTATAATACACTACAACAGTTCTAGGATAATTATTGTAAGTAACACATTTATAACAATATTCTATATAACAACGCATGAACATGCGTGATTATATATTTTTTCCAACAATTATTAAATATCTTTTTTCATAGTAGTGTCGGGTCTACATATCAAATAAACCCGCCTTTTTTAACCAAACTAAATATTATTTGAAATTTGGTAAAAAGTTTAAATTGAAGGATGCTAAATCTATTTCTATGCCAATGACTTTAAATCATCCAATTGATAAATATGAAACGAGAATAGAGATTGCATTACCAAGTAACAAGGTAATATATGATCTTTACTTTATTTAACTATAAGTCATCTTTGATATCATGTATAGTCTATGCATCTGTTATAGGTTTCAAGCATCTCCTAAGAAGTCTCACTTTATGTTTGTAAAACACATTTTAAGGTATCTAAACGGTACATTAAACTACAATATTTGGCTCCTAAGAGCAGCAAATGTAGTTTGTTAGGTTTTTCAACTCTTATTTTGCAAGGTTCAAATTAGATAGGAAAAGAATAAGTGGAACATGTCTCATTTTCGGAAATGTTTTTAGTTCTTAGTATAGTAAGAAGTAACATAGTGTTATCACTTCTATCACTGATGCCAAATATTTAGTCGTTAGTATATGTTGTCCACGAGTCTTATGGCATAAGCAACAACTGTTACATTATTATTTGAAATTAGGTTTTGTTTTTATCAAATGTGTTAGCACTAGGATAATTATGTTGGAAAAAATCGGCATTAGAAAAATAAAAGACAAAAGGACTACAGAAAGACATAACGTAGAAACTCTAATATCAGAGAAAAATTACAGTTGTTGTTAAATGACAACTAAAGAATAACACATTGAGAAAATTGTTACAACACTTGTATATCCTTAACAACCATATGCCACCAATAAATCCACACCATCCAAAACAAATATTTAGTTACATCTCATAATACTCTAAAATAAGAGTATAAGTGAACAAAAAAATCAAATGCAGACTTAAAGTCTTTTTTACACGTGTGTTTTATAATGAAGAACTTGAATCTTTTATATAGGTTTGGGCTCTCCTTTCCTTTATAAAACTAAGTAATGTGAGATTTTTTCAACATGTATATATTCAACCAATCCCGACAATCTCCACCTTGATGGAAAATAATACATCTACTTTCATTGCCTTCGCGATAATCACACTCCACCATAAAAATTGCAGTCATTTGAAGATACATCACTCCAAAAATTTCACATTATCATCACCGAAAATCATATACTCTATCATGAAGAACATGTTTCACTTAAAGCTAACCACTCCGAGAATTTCATATGTCGATAATCATGCTGAAAATTTATGGTGAAACTTCCATGTTTTTATGAAGCTCTTCAACCACGACCTAATCTCACATCTTGTGTAATCTCGATTGTATCAACACATCTTTAACTTGAACTTTAAATTTGTCAAAAATAATTCTTCAATCAATTTTCTCTAGCCCAAACTCCACAACTTAACTTGTGACTGCAGTTCAACAACTTTTTCACAACACCACCATTTTTTTCGATCTAAAAGATCAGAAAAAGTTGCAACCATGGCAAACTAAGAACACTTATACCTGAATCGAACAAAAAGGCTCTAATGCTCGTTGTTGGGAAAAAATTAACATAGAGAAAATAAAGTAACACAATCACAACACAAAGACATGACATAGAAACTAAAAAATTAGAGAAAAAATCACGGTTGTTGTCAAATAACAAACATAAAAATTGTTACAGCACATAATATACTCTAAACCACCATAGACAACTAGTACATTCGCTTCCTCTAAATCAAATATTTAACTACATGTCGCAACACTTTAACACGAGAATATAAAAGAACCAAAAAAATTAAATACAAGTTTTAAAATGGTTTTAACTGGTACGTGTTGTAACGAAAGACTTGAATCCTTTATATAATATTGAATTCCCTATTTTTTTATAAAACCATGTAATAGAAGACTTTTTTAACATGTATATTTTCAACCAACTTCAACAAATTAACCGTACCAAAAATCCAGGATTACATTCACGCACCACACACATTATGCGTCCTTTTCTAAGTGATCATGTGTAAAAAGAAGACATTGGCTTCGAGTACATAGACAATAGAAACAAATTTGTTGATATTATTACAAAATTGTTGTCCATGGAACCTTTCTACAAGATTAGTAAAATATTGAGAATCTTATATTCTTTTTGCTTTGAATAAACATTAATTTCTATTTCATTTTACTGCATGTTTTCCAATCCAAATTACCTTTCAATATTCACTAAGTTTTCCCGCAACATATCAAATAGTTTTCGAACCGTTGTATTATATAAATCATGTAGTTATCGTCTCTCTGCACTCTTTCATTTTCAATCCTATATGTTAGGCTACCAAATTTATCAATGTCCAAGCATATATTCTTTATCCATGTCCAAGCATATTTCCTTTTTTTTTTAAATGTTGGTATATAAAACAAAATAATGCAATATATGTAAACTAGTTTTTCTTTTAAAACTCTTCTAAAAAGGTGGAAATGAGACAACTTAATTGAGATATAAATAAATTAGATTTTCTTTTGAAACTCTTCTGAAATGGTAGTTTCGATACAAGTTAATTGCAATTATTATAATTAAGGTTTTCTATTACGTAACTAATTAAGTTCTATTTATTTCTTCAAATAACAATCAATTAGTCACATTAATTAACTTAATTTTAACAAAATTATCTTTTTCACACGCAAAGCCTCATTAATTATTTCCCTTTTTCAATTAAGGAAATCAATGGTGATATAAATTGGAGTGATATGAAGCCAATTATATTCAATATTTCCAAACAATATTATCGACAAGAAGAAGGGGAAAAAATTGTGTTATGGCAAAAAGAAGTACTTCAGTTGTTCTAGCTGTCCTTGTTGTAGCATTATTTCTGAATGGTTATAATGCTGCTGTGAGTGTAGAAAGAGATAATCAACCTGAGAAAGGTGAAGTTGATGTTTACAACACTCATGACCTATTTGATTTTGTGAATGTGTTTTTGATATATTTATATGTATTAAGTAAATATATGTGTGTGATGTGATTTTACTATATTGGTACGTAACAAACATGAAATAAATTCACATCTGTTAAATTTAAAATTTATTTCTTATTTTTTTACCTTTGTGCATTGTTTCCTTGACTGCAGCAGGAGTAGACGGAATGATACATTGCTTTCCTGCAATATGTGCTAATAATGCTAACTGTTCTGAATTTTGTATGGCAAAAGGCTACGCTAAAGGTGGTTGTTTAGGAGGCACAATGTGTTGTTGCCCTGATTATGTTTAAGAGATCACGTTTCATAATTGTACATTTTAAACTTAATTGTAGAAGTATATCAACAAAATATCTTTAAGGTTTTTATTAAAATAAGTTGAAAAGCCACTATTGTAAGTTCAACTTAGATGTAATTTCCAATATTAAGAATTGTCGGTAATAAATAAAATACCCTTGCACACTTATATGACACCGGACATAATTGGACATATTTTGATGATTTTACGTATATTATTAGACTAAATTAGTTTTATATATATTAACTTTCATTGTACATGTGGTAAATTTAATTGCATTCATAGCTTGTATTTATTTAGTTCTTGTTTTGGATTGGGTCTGCTCTTGACTCAAGTCTATATGAGGTACAACTCAACCCTGTTGTTTATGATCAGCTGATCGGATCTGTCATTGACTGTGTTGAGCAATAACTCTCACTCTTCGAGAGGACGCTGCTTCGCCACATGGAGATGAACTCAGGATGATGCGAGAAGGAGCATCACCGAGAAAGATGACCTCGAGAGTATTCTCCAGGCTTCTCCTCGAGTGACACTGGTCCTCCCATACGGCCTCATGGCTGGCGGGGATCCTGCGCGACGGGCAGAAGTATCCCACGGGCATCCTCCTCGTAGGGCTGATTATCAACGCCTCTGAATATCATGGAGTCCACTTGATCCCGAAAAGAATGCATCCATATCCTCCTGGTCATGCAGAGGAATCCATCCAGGTAGGAGACCACGTGCTGGTCCTCACTACTCACGTAGAACCTGGCAGACTCCACTTTGGACCAACTTGCCCAACCCAATGAGGTTACCTTGACCCAGCGCTGAGGGCTATAAATATCCTCTCACTTGAGAGGGTCCGATATTGATCATTTCTTACTCACTCTTACTTGCTTGTATCATTCTGAATCTCACTTTGGCATCAGAGTGTCTTGCAGGTACCTCCGCCTCACTTTCAACTTCTGCTCGACGTAAGTTGTGACGGTCCATTCTAGTCATGTCCCCCACGCCAAAAACGAAGACCCCCTGGAAACAAAAATAGGATAAATGAAGAACCACGACCCCGGTCGAAGGATCCTCCCCGCGACCAGGGCCTCCATCACCGACCGCCATTACAACAGGTCACCTCCTCGATCTCCAGACAGAAGTGACGAAGACCACCCCCGTGGTCCCCTATACCAGGAAATCATGGAGGTAATCATTCCCCCTGAAATGGAGAAACCTCCCCAACTGAAGGAGTACGGCGGCATTGCGGATCCAGTCGACCACATCGACGGATTTGAAGCAATGCTATATTATCATAATGTCGGGGGACAGATCAAATGTCGGTTGTTCCCCACAACCTTCAGAAAGACTGCAACGGATTGGTACAAGAACCTCGTCCCGGCGTCGATCACCTCTTGGAGAAACTTAAAAAACCAGTTCATCAGCTCATTCACAGTCTCTCGTTGACATCTGAAGACTGAGGCCGCCCTTGAGGCTATCTCCAAAGAAACGACGAAACCCTCAGGGAGTTTATTGATCGATTTAACTGTGAGGTCATTCAGGTATTGTGCACCGATCATATGAAGAGATACTTTCTCGAAAGAGGACTCCTCCCGGGCACAGAGTTCAGGAAGGCCGTAGGCATCGAACCACCCCGGAATTTCGTTGCTCTCCTCAAGAAGGCTAGGGCATATATGGACTATGAGGAGAGGGAAGTAGCCAATAGAGCTCGTGACCCAAAAGATCATAGACCGACCAATAATCTGCGATACCAGGCCGCAGGCCTCCCCGACGTACAGGTGAGAAGAGAAGGGACGACAAACCACAGGATCCTTGCGAGCAAAGGGGGCCCGCAGGGCAATTCATTGAATACACTCCGCTGACAGCTTCCCGCGAGTGCATCTTGGCGGAGTGTGCTAAACCGACTTCAAGGACGACTGCTTCAAATGTCCTTGCTCTGCTCTTGCAAATCTTGGGGCTGACAAGAGCAAATACTGTCAGTACAATCGAAGTCACGATCACCTGACTGAAGACTGTGTCCATCTCAAAGATGCCATTGAAACCCTCATTAAAGGTTGTAGACTCGGGAAATATCAACGCAATGACGCCCCTCTTCAAGATGCCCGCGAGACAAAAGAGGTTAAGGAAGACGCCAAACCATCGTATGAAACGACCCCCATCCAAATAGCATTCTCCGTTACAAGATATGAGGACTTCTACGTCGTCGACAGACACGAAGAAGAACCTATGTCCATGAACAGTAGGTGGGAGAAATTCCCCTTCTCCATGGTTATAATTGGTGGGGGGTTCAAAGACATATCTATAACCTCAACAAAGAGGAAGCTCGACGAGCTGGTCGATGTAACCCTGACTCAATTGGTGACATTCGAGAAGGTCAAGGGAAGATCATAGTCGATCATGTTCTACCTCGAAGAGTTTCCCAGAGGGGCCCCTAACTCGAGCATCCTTATTTTGGTGAGGGCAAGAATGTCTATTTTGATGTTCGTCGCATCTTGGTCGATGAAGGGAGTTCCGTTGATGTTATATACAGCCATCTCTTCCGAACCTTACAGCTCGAGAACACCCACTTTCACCATACGTGGGGTCCGACCTGTAAGGCTTCAACGGTTCGACCTCTAAGCCATGGAGATACATGGAGCTCTTCGTCACCTTCAGGGAGGAAACTGCCACCCGATAGGTCAAGGTGCGATTTCTGGTCATCAACTTCTCGTCTCTATACAACTGCATCCTAGTGATAACATTGAATCGCATTGCATATTTGAATCGATTCGCACATGTTTATTAGGTTTTTATTGTTATTTTCTTGTGTTATGTTTGCATTTTGTTTTATTTTCAGTTTTTTTGTCTTTCCTAAGCCTTGCTTGAAGAAATGAAGAAAAATGAGCCATATGGTCAGCCATGAGGTGGCCAACTCCATCCAACTGCCAACTGCCATATTCTCCACTACTTCTTCATTTTTGGAGCATGGAGGCCGCCACACCCCCATGGCGGGCACCACCTTTGAAAATTTGATTCCCACTCAAAAGAAGTTAGAGGGCATTCTTGTTATTTCCAAAATCCTCCTAAGCCTATAAATAGAAGTGATTTCAGTTCTTCTTTTTCATCCAAGCTTAGTTACACTGACTTAAGCCATATATTGTGCAATTGTAAGCGGTAAGTTTTTCACATCAAAGATTTATCGCACGAGTCATTGAGTATTAATCAAGTTTGGAGCACTTTATAATCTTGCCTCCATTTTAATTCAAATTTCCTTTATTTCAGTCAAATTTACCTTCCAGTCAAGTTGCTTTACAACCCTCCATTTGGAGCAGGTTTCTATTTAAGTTTTTGCATTTATCGCACTTATTTCCTCACACTTGCTTTACTTTTTTTTTTCTCACATCACACTTGCTTTACTTTGTTTATTTTCTCGCATTGCATTTACTTATCTTTTAACCTTTTTACTTTTTCCTTAAACATGATTTACTTTAATAAGTTTATTTCTATTTCTAGCTAATTTCCTTTAGGGTTAGAATGTAATGATCATGGTTAAGGTAATTCTCTAAACATTGCATCTGTAGGAATACTTTAGGGGCTGTTTTGGTTTTTAACATAAGTTTTCTGCACTTTATTTTCTGTTGGGTAAGATGGAAAGCCGTCAAACCATTGATAAACTTAGTTAGTCTTAATTGCTCAAAGAGAGCGAAAGCGTTTTGTTCAATTAAGTAAGAACCTTTAACTTTTTAGAAGAAATGTTTTCAAAACCTTTTTCGGACGCGTTTATTGGTTTAAAAGTCTAATCATCTCTTGGTTAGAAGTTCTGAGTCAAAATCACTTTTCAACTTAGTCAAGTAACTATATTTCTTAAAAATAGGTTTATTACTTTAACACAATACACACCTTTTATCCGTGACAATAAAAAGGAATTATTTAAAGAATAAACTCGGTTCTGAATACGCGAAAGTGACAGTTCCAGTTAAATTAGTTCTTTCCAAAGTAGGGAATATTGCCCCATAAGTAGTTCTATTAGAAGTATTTTAGAGTATTATCTGACTATTGTGATTTGCATTCGAACCTGTTTCTTTTATCTGAATTGACATCTTTTACTTTATTTACTCTGCCTGCTATAAAACTATGATTTGATCTGCCTTAAATAAACATAATAATAATAGAATTTGATAGATTGACGTTTTGGTCTTTGTGGGATCGATAATCTTTTATATTACTCTGACGCGATTCTTATACTTGCAAAAATCATGCATCAAGTTTTTGGCGCCGTTGCCGGGGACCAATTACGTCAAATTTTGTACCCTATTGTTACACCATCTAGACTAAGGCTTAACTAGCTAGTCAATGTGAAAAGCTCGCAGTACCGGGAGTTTATTAAACCCTTTAGCGGAACATGAATGTTACGCTCGCGCTCGTCTCTTACTCCATAGAGTTAGGAAAGCTATGGCTGAAAATCGTGACCAAAGACCCCTTAAGGAGTTCGCCTAAACCTCCAACGAAGAACCTAGTTCTAGTATAATAAACCCTACTATTCTTGCCAACAATTTCGAACTAAAACCCTCTCTATTACAACTAGTACAACAAAACCAATTTGCGGGTCTTGCTACGGAGAACCCAAATCAACATTTGAAAATCTTCATTCAACTAGCCGATACCTTTAAAACCAACGGTGCTACATCCGAGGCGATTATTTTAAGACTATTTCCTTTCTACCTTAGAGATAAAGCCCGTTGTTGGTTAGATTCTCTTCCAGCCAATTCAATAACAACTTGGGAAGACCTTAGGAGAGTGTTACTTTCCAGATATTTTTCCCTAGTAAGACTGCCATTCTTAGAAACCAAATAACCAGATTTACTCAAGTCCAAGGAGAATCATTATTTAAGGACTGGGAAAGGTATGAGGAATTATTAAGAGTTTGCCCCCACTATGGCCTAAAACAATGGTTGATCATACATACCTTCTATAATGGGCTCCAATATAACCCCAAGGTGACCATCGACGCTGCCGCTGGTGGCGCTC